TCATTGATTGAAATACTTTTAGGATCAAAGTCTTCATCTTTTACCCTTCCTGCCATGATTCGCAGAAGGGTAGATTTTCCTGTTCCACTAGGACCAGCTACAGCAACAATCTCAGAACTTCTGGCAACAAAAGAGATTGAGTTGAGTATACTTAAGGGCTCTGGTTTTTTACTCTGGTGACAAAATGAAAGGAAAGTTCTCTTGTTAGGCTTCAAAGTGTAGGAGAGATTTCTCACAGAAAGTTTATATGCAGTTCTGAATTGTTGCTGTGATGGTGGCGGTGAGTGGTGGAAAGAGGAAGAAGAAGCACTAATGGATTCCTCAGGAGAATTAGAAGTTGAGAAGAGTATCACAGAGTCATCTTCAGTGGTAGATAGCCTAGGTGGATTCAAGCACGCTGCCATTGGTTTATGTGGTTATTCTGTGGGAGAAAAGTTAAACTAAGAATGCAACCTTTTATGGGAGAATTTCAAGTTCAGAAGAAACGGAAGTTGCAACAACCAAGTTGACAGTTATGCAGTTGTAGATGCTGACATGTTTGGTAGAGGTAGGTTATCTGCAACATTAACTTATCAAGTTCAGACTTTGGCCTATACTTAATTGCATTCCTATCACTTCCTTTCATTAACTTAATTACCAATTTCCTAGCTAGATTTTCAAACTCTTCACCCTGTAAATTCTATCCAATCTGAACTTTGAACAAAGAAAACGAAAGAGACGTGCCATTCATATAACAACTCATGATTTATACAATATTATGTCGTTTTTTTTTTCTCCATCATATTATTTGTTACGTTTTATACTTTTCATTTTTTTCCTACAATTTCTAAACTCAAGGGACAACTTTTTAGAGCAAGTTGGGTCTATCGAGGAGAAGGTTCACCAGAGAGACACAAATATCAATGACTCTTCAGCCACATCATATAAGAGATTGACACCATTCTCTATCAAAAATCTTAATGCAATTAGCTAATGATCTTTCACTTTTATATATTACTATACTTTCTCGTTTCTATCCAATGTGAGACTTAAACTTACGTTTAGATTAGCATGTTAGCAATAGAATAATATAATAATTTAAATTTTCATCAAATAGAAGACATGATTTCTCAGTTGAAAAACAAAAAACAATATTACATGAATGAACAGAGAGCTAAAACCGTATTATATGTAATTTGGGGAAGTCCCACCTTGAGCTTAAAAATGATATTCAACAGTTTGGATGAATGTAAATATTTAGCTAGGTTTTGAAAAAAATATTAATTTAAGTTTTTGTAAACATGTTAGCGTCTTGCTTACCTTAGGTCAATTTTAGGTGTCAATTGAAGCATGTTTGTTCAGACGTTTTGCCCTATGGGTTAGTCAACTTCCATATGTGGATCACTTAGTTGACAGTTGGAACCTCTCATCAACTTTCCCATCTCAAGTGTAAAGGGTTGATATATGATTGTTAAGCTCCCTCAAAAATAGGTAAATTCTCACCAAAGAAAACTGCTGAAGGGTGAAACACTTATCTGCCATGTAAAATTTTAAACTCAATTTATTCATTTATTCTCTAAATATATGTCGATATTATTGCTACTTTTTGGGATTTTTTTAAATAGTTTTAGAAACTAATGCAAAAATGTTGCACACACACTTTTAACAATAAAAAAACAATTTTTTTTTCATCATAAATGATGAGAATATAGTTGTATATTTATAGCTTGACGGAAGAAATGTAGATTTTTTTTAAGTTATTACAAGATGTAATGTCTAATAACTATATTATCAAGAACAAATATGTGGTTGAAAAATGTTGAATTCTGTATACAAACACATTTATACGCAAGGCAATACATGGCATATCCGAAAGAAAAAACAAATGCAACTTTTAAGACAAACAGTTTATCTTTGTTCTCAATGAAACCTTTAGCTTTCAAGTCGTTGATAGAAAAGTATGAAAAAAAATCTCAAATGTGCTACATTTTGGACTATAGCAGATTACGAAAGTGTTCCATAACAAAATAATTACTTTTGGAGTTTATGAAAACTATACCATGAAAAAGGTATTACGAAAGTGTTCCACAACAACACAACTATTTTTGGAGTTCATAGGTAATATGTTAAGATTTTAAATTAGCTTCCAAAGATTTACGGATGTGATTGAAATAAGGATAAAATATATTTTCGGTAGGGGAATTTGGAAAAAAAAAAATTCAGAAGTGATAGGTTGCTGGAAGAAATCTGATGGAGTGCAGAAAGTAATAGCCCAATATGTATTTAGCAGTCCAGGACTAAAAAGTTCTTGTCAATGTTAAAATATAGAGACAAAAACAAATTATATTAATCTCACATACCTTATCCACTGATACTAAAATCAGTACAATATTGACGCTTGAAGTTACAGAACTAGCTAACAAATTGAGGACGAAAAATCGTGAAATTGCACACTATATAATTTCTACTATGATCATAACTCCTTATATACAAGGATTCAATTGAAGCATTTTATCGAACATTTAGCGAGAGTGAAATGAAAAAAAAATAAATATTTCTATTTTAATTGGAAATTTAAATTCTTATACCCACTTCCCCTCACTTTTCCACCTCCCAAACAGGGAATTAGACCATAAAGTGACCCCACAAGGAGACCATGATTTTAGTTTTTGTATATTTGGTTTTGTATTTATAAGTAATCGCATTTTTCACTATGTGGAGTATTTAAAAGATGAAAATGTAGATAATTCAATTTCATTACATATATATATATATTCTTTGACTGAATTGGTTCAATGTGTCGCTGTCCTCACTTCAACTGCTGTCACTACCTAATGTTGTGTTGTGGTAAAATGAGGTTTTGATTCATATTTTCGTGATGGGGATTTCTTCCTGCATCCATGTTTTCTTTCTGCATCCTCCTATTCTTTAAAATTCCAATAATACTCTCTTACTTGAAATTAATAGAAAAAAAAAATATAAGATTTTTTTTTCAAGTTTTATTTCCAGTTTTGGATTGTGCAATATTTAAGTCAAGTCAAGATAACTAAATATCATGTCAAATCAAGTCATCTATATCTAAGGTCTAAAATAATCAGTTCGGGTTAAAGATTGAACTGAGTCAAAGTGGAAGATTAATTAGAGTCATCTTAGATTAAAGGTTGAGTCAAGTTAGTCTGACTCAATGGTTGAGCCGAATTCAGGCCAAAGGTTGAACTAAGTGGATCTTGTTTGAGTTAGCCCAAGCCGAAGGTCGAACCAAGTTAGCTTGATGAAATTTGAGTCAAGTCAGATCAGGTAACAAGTTGAGTTGAGTTGGACTAGATCGAAGATTGTAGAAATTGGTATTGCGCATTGGAATGTTCAAAAGTGTGTAAACGGATACAAAACCAAGAGGGGAGGGAAATGATTCTAGTTAAAAATTGCTTCTTTTTAATAGATTTTTGCTTTCAAAAGTTTCTTTGATAAATAAGAAAATTTATGTTAAATAAAAGCAAATAAACAACGCAGAGAAGAGAAGAAAAAAATTACACAGGTAATTTTTATACTGGTTCGGATAGAAAAACCCTACATCTAGTTGTTAATCTCTCTAAAAGAGGGATTAACATTTCCACTAAAATAAGTAACATATTACAATAGAGAATAGAAACCACCTCTCTTAACACATAAGAGATGAAAGACACTTCCTTTTGATGCACAAAAAGATGAACGACTTGAATTTGCTTTGTAAGTATACTTCACCACTTAGACACACCAAGAAAGAGCACTTCCTCCTACAAGCACCAAGTTACAAGCTCCCTTTTACAAACACAAAGAGTTTCCCCGAGACACACAACTCTAATACTCTTAAGTGAAAAGTTATCTTCTAAGAATTTTGGAAAACACTATTTATAAGCCAAGGGTCAGAAACTGAAAAGGCATATCGCAAATGCCAATAAAAATCAATTACCAAAAGTGATAATCGATTATTTTTTGCTGTTATAAGGTTTTTGAAATGGTGATAATCGATTATCATTAGTGATAATCGATTATTGTCAAACCCTGGACAATCATAACTTTTAGTGATAATCGATTATCTTGAGAGATAATCGATTATTGCCGATTTGAAGTGTTTTCTCGTTTTACACATGATAATCGATTATCTTTCATGGTAATCAATTATTGCCATAACATATCTATACTAAAAAGAAATTTACAAGTCTTCTTATGAAGTACAAGTGAAAACAAAAGCCTAATACAAGGTTTTCTATAAAAATGTTTTAACAATGTTTGTAAATAACTCTTCAAGACTTCAAGTGCATTATCATCAAAATCTCTTCAAAGCATTAATGCCTTTCATTGGTAACAAAGTCGATTTGTCCTGGACATAGCCTAGCCGAGTTGAATCAGTCTTAATTGAAGGTTGAGACTTTTTATCCTAAATGAAAGTCGACACATGTTCGTCTTGGCCAAAGTTCGAGGTAGTCGACTCTGGTCAAATGATCGAGTCAGGTCATCCTAGGCCCAAGGTCTAGTTGAATTATTCTAAGTCCAAGGTCGAATTGAGTTATCATGATTTCAGATCAAACTGAGTTAAGTCAAATTAAACTAAATTCAAGTAGAACCAAATTGAGATGTAACAAGTAAAGTTAAATCAATCCAATTTTAAATTAATTCTAATTAAGTTTGATTGAAAAAGACGGAAAATTTAAGTGGTCAACTTAACTTACACATCCAAAATAAAGTTTTTCTATTTTGGGTAACACCTTTAAAATGTATTCATTTCGGTAAATTTCAAGTAAAACTAAATCATTTTTTGTAAAAAAAAAAAAAACAAAACAAAGTTTTCTGGAGTTGAAACCTAGTTCCTCGTTCTCATCACTATAAATTCTCCCACAAACAAAGCTTCACATCATCACAACAAGTATCTTACATTTGGTTCTTTGAATCAATCTCTCTCTCTCTCTCTCATTCAACCATTTGGGTCTATCTTTCCCTCTTGTATTTAAACTCGTCTTCATTCATACATTTTTTGTAGTACAATGACAAACAACTCCATGCCAATCTCAGTATGCGGAGACTCAGATTGCGAATCCTCTTGGGACCACCAAACTAGCTCCTCTCATTGTCCTCACCTTCCATCGCTACCACCACCGACCACAAACCAACAATGGCAGAATCTCCCTCTTGCTACTCCACCCTCAAAGAAGCCACGTGGCAGACCTCCAGGCTCCAAGAACAAGCCCAAATACACTCTCCCACAACCCTCCATAAAGATTCTCATTGTCAATGTCGCTCCAGGACATGACATCATTGAAACCATTATTAACATCGCTCGGCGCTCCCATGTCAGCCTCTCCATCCTTAGTGCCTCCGGTATCATCACCACCGTCACCCTCCGCCATGTCCCCAGTGGTTCCTCCGCCGTCATGCTCCATGGACCCTTCAACTTACTTTCCCTCACTGGCTCCTACTTACACAATAACCAATACTCCCTTCTCCCCGGAGCCACCCCTCCTCGTTCCTTATCCTTTGGCATACACCTCTCCACCTCTCATGGTCGAGTCTTCGGTGGCCTCGTCGGCGGTAGGGTCGTCGCCGGTGACGATGTCATTTTGACTATTTCTACCTTCGAGAACCCTGAAATTTATAAATACGGTTTTGAAGATCAAGAAAGAGGTGATCATGATGACAGTAACATCAACAACAATAAAACTTGTGACCATAACCCTAGTAATTTCAACAAGGGTGGCGACTTGCCAACGTATAACTCTGCTAATTTCGGAATCCATGGGTGGTGAATGATGTGAAATCGACATCATAGGATTAAAGATAGAACAAACGGAATGAGGATCTCTCTTAATGCACAATGGTTTTTTCTGTTTTGTACGATTTTTGAGTCTTACTTGATATCTATTATCAAAGTGTTATACAGTATATCGTTCTGCTATGTCATAGGAATATGGTTATATTGTGTTTTTCCGATGAATGAAAAGTTGTTTCAGCATGCTTGTTTCTACTTATCTATTTTGAATTAATTTCTTCAATTAATCAATTTTTGTTTATGAGGTTCTTCTTATGTTCAGTAATATGTAGGGTTTGTACAATTTTATGCTTAGAAAGTTGTATAATTAATTGAAAAATGCATCTATTTACGGCTTTTCCAACTCCGTAATTACTCTATAATTAAATTAATCTCTAACTTATTATAAAAGAAAACGGTGATAGGACACAAAGAATAGTACATATCTTCGTATAAGTGTTTATCCATATATTTGTATATTAAATAAATACTATTAAATTTGTTAATTTATACATCTGACTGACAATAATATATGGTTAAAAAGTGGATACTGGATGCGTACGTATCTTTCTATCACCTTTTACTATAATATATAGTTAAAAAGTTACTTAAAATAATCTTCAATACATTATTTGCAGAAATGTATGAGTATGTTTTTTAGTCTAACAATTTTAATAAAATTTAAAAGAATGTGAGCTTTCAATGTTATGTTGTCTTTTTTAGTCAAACTTGCTCCTTATGATTGTTCCAAAGTAATCAGCAATTTGCATAGCATTGGGCATTGTCTTCTATCTTGGTCAAAGGTCAAACACTTTTATTAAATTAGTTTTTAAACTAATTATGTAAAACAGTTAAAAGTTTAATAAAATAAAAGTTGATAGAATTAAATTCAACACAGTCAATATGTTTCAAACTGCATTTAAATTCAATTTAATTATAAATTATATATTAATTTAATTTAACAGAATTTCTAATTCAACATTTTCTTTTCAAATAGCCAATTAATTGTTTGAGAATTCAATCAAACTAGTAATGCAAAAGAAAAAGTACTGTAGAATCTAATTTTAAATTACCAAGGTTTCTACATATATTTTCCAGATTGTTACGTACACCAATATTGTTGATTATTGACGTAAATATTTTATGACATTTCATAAAAAATCATTTAAATCTATAATTGAACTTAAGTTTAATTCATTCTTACCATAGATTTCTATGTTTAATGCTTTTTCTAACCTCATTCGAGTTGTTTTTTTATAATAGTTTTTTTATTTTTTATTGTTTTCAAATATGACTTTCAAGATAAATATTTATTTTTCATTTTATGTAATTAACGTAATAATAATATAATATATATTTAGAGTGTGTTTGGTTTAAAATTTTAATATTATTTTATATTTAGTATATTTTATTTTGAAAATAAATAATTTTAAAATGATTGATTTTTTTCAATATATAAAATTATTTTGTTTGATAAATAATGTAGAGTTTCTTAAATGTAAAATTAATTACATTCAAAAAGTCATATTTTTCATTGTTTTTTCGTAAGTGCATTCTTATTCCGCTCATGTGATTCAATGAGAAACTACATATACTTTTAATGATTGTAACAAATTGTTTTGACTGCAGTAATTTTCAAACGCTTTTATCAAACAAAGAATTAATTTGTGTATATAATGCATCATATTTTGTCAAAACAAGTCACCCGGTCCAACCCGACCTAGTGCACCATGTGTTGGTTTTGGTTACTTAGTGAGTCAATCCAACGCAGTTCACTTATTAGTTAGTTGAAAAAATTTGAACACGGTTTAATTCATTACGGGTTTGTGGGTTAAACAGATTGGTTCACTAGTTTATTTTATTTACAATTTTTGATTAAATTCCAAAAAATAATAATTTTTTTCTAATTCAAATTTAGATAAATTTCAATATAAAATGACGTTAAATTTCAAAGATAATTCAAAATAAAAAAATATGTAATACATTGCAAATACAATCCAAAATCATTTTAAACTCCAAATATAATAAAAAAAGTATAAAAAACAAAATTAGATGGATTCACGAACCAGATTCTTAAGATTCAAAATAGATCCATATAAAAATTTTAATTTTTTTTTTCAATCCAACCCAACTCAAATCTATAGTGCACTCAGGTTGAACATATTATTGTTTGAGATTTAAAAGAGCAAGCATTAACACTTAATTCTATTTCACCAAAATGTGTTATACAATTATAAGGCTAAATAGTAAATTTAATTCCTAAAAGTGGAAACATTATTAATTTAATTGTTGGAATGTATGGAAAAACGGATGTGAAAAGCTGAAAAAGAATGATGAAATTGTATTTTGAAAACTTTTGATAGATATTTTATTATGCAATACCTCTTACTGGAATAACATCATCTAAGTATGTATCTCAGGTTTGCTGATAATTTCTATAAATATATGTTTAAATAATTTTTTTCAAAATAAATTTAAAAATAAATGTATAGGAATATAAATACAAAAGTCTATAAAATTTCTAAAAAAACAAATATTGGTTTTCTTTCTCATTGTCGAGTACTTCCATTTACACTCTTATCTCTTTATGTGTAGCATTAATTAACAGATGAAATCATAATCACAAAATAAGATAAGCTAATATACATAAAATAAAAACACAACATAATTAAAATTTTTAAAAAATTAGTTCACATCAAGCATAGCTCAAAATCGTCTAATGATATGTAATTATTAATGACATTATGAATCTACTTCTAGAACATTTGTTTGTTGAATATGACTCAAAGATTCGACACTTATCACATCATGGTATATTATGGCATAATGTTATAACTTTAGTTGGTCTAACATTTTAGGAACTAAGTCCTCCTCATATAATAAGGTTGTTTCTTTATCGACAATAATAAATTCATCGATAAAACTGTTAGTAAGTGAAATTTGAAAATTCGTTGATAAAATCCGTTAATATATTTAAATTACTAACTCATGATAAATTCATTAATAATTTTTGTAATATATATATATATATATATATATATAAAAGAAAATAGATGTTTTATATCTCAAGCCAATAGGGGTGAATAGGATTAGCCCTTGTAAAATGATCTTTTCAAAATCTTTATAAGTTATTTGGCTTTCTTGAAATCAATAAACAAAAAGTGATAAATCAACAACAAGAGAGAAAGAGTAGAGAAAGATCAACACAAACAATCTATACTGGATCGGCTAATCCGAAGCCTACATCTAGTCCTCCTTCAATAACCTTAGTTGAAGGGGTTCCACTATAATTGATTACGTTTACAGAAATATAGAGATATCCCTCTCAATGCACTCCTCTCACCACTCAAAATCAATATAGTAATACAAGAGATGAATAACATCGCTCTCTTACAATAACCGAAAACAATCACAACTCTCAACCATTGACAAACCCGCACAGGTACACAATCACAAATTTTTTATGATGAATATGATCTCCAAGTCACACTCCTTTAGTGCAGATCAAATCAAAACAGCTTTAGCACAATTTCTTAAAAGAATCTTGATAGGTAATCAACAAATGAACCCTTGATTCTCCAAGATCACTTCTTGAACACTCTTGTAATCAAAACTCAATGAAAATGTTAGTTACTAAAAGTGATAGCAAATTCTTGTTTTGAAACAGGTCTCAAGACACACACACACACACACACACACACACATATATATATATATGATTTTTTGAATTCTGACGCATTATAATTGATTAGGATTTTTATGTAATTTGTTAAGCTTTTGTTTCTGTTGTAACATATTATCCTGAGCATATAATAGATTATATAAGCACATAAGCCAATTATTAATTCAATTGACAATTATAACATATCGGACTTTAAATGCAAAGGATTAGACAAAGTAAACTAATTTAATTAATCCTATAATTAAGTAATTTGTCTATCCAATTTCCATTGTAAACAGACTAACTCACTTATGAAAATATTTTGGATAACTTTCTATTTTAATCGGTTATATATCATGTATAATCGATTACTATAGAACAGTTTGCCCCTGTTAAGCTTATTAAGTGATCTGGTAAAATCTAACAGATTATATACTACGTTTACTCGATTATTTCAACCATAAATGACATATTCAATCTATTTTAAGCATGATTCATTTAAAAATAATGAATTCATATATCGAGAATAAACATAGTCAAGATAAAGCAATTGTTATGTCATTTGTTGTGCAAGAAACTATAAAATCATTCTTTTGTTCATCATAAAAAAGAAAGATATATAAGGAGCTCAAAGCTTCGCCTATGAACTATATATGTGTGTGTGTGTGTGTGGATTCGGGAATAATCGATTATTTGGGTTGATAATCGATTATCCCTTTCTACGTGATGTTTCTGTGTAAATTTCACCAAGATAATAGATTATCACTCTTAAGTTATAATCGATTATCACACTGCATTTTGGTGAAAATGGATAATTTTTTGAAGAATAGATGTGGACCAAGCTTGATGAGTTGTGGCAGAGACTGAGGTTAATGCTTATGTTTAGGGTCAATTTGACTTATAGTTGAGAGTGGAGCATGGGTGAGTGTTGGGATGTACCTGAGTATATGATTGATGACCATGAGAATGAAGGATAAGTCTACTTGTTGTACCTCGTAAATCTTGGTTCTATCTGCGGATAGGTGCTTCCTTTTCCTTGTGTGCATTGGAAGGAGATGATCTGTAGGGGAGGCTATAGTTGGGTTGTAGGAGCGGCTACAGTTAGGTTGTAGGAGCGGCTACAGTTAGGTTGTAGGAGCGGCTACAGTTGGTGAGGTAGGGTACAAGAGTGAGATGGACTCTTTCTACTATGGTATTATGGTATGGTGATACTCATGGTGTTGTTCATGATTGCGATAGTCATGATGGTAGTGTATTTATGATGATTATCATGGTACTTGAGATGCTTCAAGTTATGTTATGTTGATAGTGATGTTACTATAATGGTTATAGAAAGT